CGCGTGTGTGTGTGTGTGTGTGTGTATGTGTGTGTGTGTGTGTGTGTGTGTGTGTGTGTTTGTTTGTTTGTAACACGTATCCCCACTTATTCTCGGGTCTGGATGCTTCTCTTTTGCTCAGTTAAATCATTTTTTTTTCTCTCCCAGGATCCAAAACCAGCTACCATCAACTGCAACAGGATTCAGAAATACATGTTGTACCTCAGCACAGAGGAAACGCCGGGAGGTACCACTCGTGACGTGAAGACGCTAGAGGTATCTGGAAGCAGAAGTAAAACCATCTCAGTGCCTAATCTGGTGCCTTTCACGCAGTACTGTGTCGTCATGGCGTTTGAGAACGACGCCGGACGGAAAAGTCCGGAATCAAAGCCTGAGTGTGTCGTCACGCCACAAACAAGTGAGTATTCACAAAGATTGATAATTACAAGATAGTTCACTCAACCAAAAGAGTGTCCACGGATTGCTTCAGATGGCGCTGCAGTCTTTTGTTTTGAAGATCTCTTTCGTTTTTCCAGAAGAAGAATAGGAATAGCACTGTTTGTTAGTTTCGCTTTTATTGTTTTTCACACAAGTAAGGTAGATCTTAGTCTGTTTGCAAAGTCCACACTTTTTCGAAGAGATCACCACCGGATTTTGAGGAATAATTTTTAACTGACTCAAAGAGAGGAGTGACCTATCCTGTTATACACGATCTTTGGTATTTATTACTCTATGGTTATTTGACCATCTCGGTGAAAAAAGTGTTCTCTGGAAATGTTTATTCGACAATATGACCGATTTGTACATTCCTCTAGGGCAAAGAAAAAATCATTCTGAGCTAAGCATAATGCGGAAAGAAGGAGCATTGAATTTTACCTCAAAACTAGACAACTAAGCAAACATCGGAATTCCCACTCTCTATGGGGCCACATTTGTGTGACCTTGACCTCGTGTACGAAGTGAGCTTCCACGAATTGGGGTTTCAATTAACTTTTGCCCTGGAGATGATGATACAAAACACGTTTGTAGTACAGTAATTAGTACTAATAAAGACCAGGTTGCCTGTCTTCGAAATTTCCAAGGTTGAGACGTATAGGACGTCGTTAAACCAACAATATAAAGAAAGGTTCAATTATGTCAGTTTTTATCCGCTTTTTAAATAATGGACTAAAAAAGTCTTTTTCTCATGTCGCCACGGCAATCCAAGTTTGACCGATAGAAAAAGCCTAAATGTGTGTGCTGTGTAAGCTCTGGATGGAGGAGTCATATTGACTGTTACCTCAAGAACTTCAGCTGGCATTTACCTCAAGACCAGAAGCTGACTTATTTTGTCTTATAAACATAATACATTATGCTTTATTCTTTTTGCTCACAGCCCCGGGAGCCCCAGAAAACTTTGAGGTGCGGGACGTCGGAAGTAACAAAGCCACGTTGATATGGCAACAACCATCGCTTAGCTACGGTCAGGTGACGCATTACCTGATTCTTTATTGGGAGGGCGAGGACGAGACGGCCAAAGGGTCGGAATGGAACCCTCGCGGACAGACAGAGGCAGTGTACACGTTGTCCGGGCTGAAGGCTAGCACGTACTACAGAGTGGAGGTAAGATGATAGTTTTATGGGAGAATTTTAAAGCAACTGTAACAGTGATTTGAAAAGAAAGTTCACAGAACGCTAAGCGGTGGAGTTTAAAGTCGAGTAGTGTTGTGATTTGGCTTCAGAATTCACTGAGAATAGTTTGGTTTTATCTGAGATTTGAAATCAGATGACAACATAGTCAAGTAATATAAATTGTAGATGCTTTACACAACGAAACAATTTTGGATCGTTTAGGAGACGATCTGCTAAGGACCTGTCTGTCAGGAACAACCAGGGTTGAGAGTGATACAAAATCCAAGCAGATAATATGAAGCTACTTGATTTTTAAAAAAACTTACTCGGTGGTCGAATCTTGTCTTCTGCGTACGACTTTGAAGTGCCGTACCTATATTTGAGGCTCCGGTGACGCATAGTCGCACCTTTGGACTTGATAGAACAAGTTTGTCTGTACACTCTGTTAATATGGTGTGGCATTTTAACTCACACCTCTTTAAGTTCTCTCTCTCTCTTTCTCTCTCTGTGTCTGTCTCTCTCTCTCTCTCTCTCTCTCTCTCTCTCTCTCTCTCTCTCTCTCTCTCTCTCTCTCTCTCTCTCTCTCTCTTTCTTTCTCTTTCACAT